CTCCAATTATTGAAAATGGCCACACATAAAATCGGTATTGTTAGAGAAGGCAAAATGCCTGTCGATCGGCGTGTACCGTTGACACCTAAGAAGTGTGTTGAAATTCTACACTCATATCCCAATGTTGAAATTGTCATACAGCCAAGTCCAACTAGATGTTTCAAGGACAATGACTATACTAATCTGGGTGTTAAACTACAGCATGACCTCAGCGATTGCGATATCATTATGGGAGTTAAAGAGGTCCCAACAGAACAACTGATACCAAATAAAACGTACCTCTTCTTTTCGCATACTATCAAAAAACAGCCGTATAATCGCAAACTGTTACAGACTATACTAGAGAAAAAAATAACGCTCATCGACTACGAAACTCTCACTGACGCTCAGAATAACCGTGTGGTCGCTTTCGGACGTTGGGCTGGCATTGTGGGGGCCTATAACGGCCTGCTCGTTTACGGAAAGAAATGGGGACTTTTCGATCTCAAACCGGCATATGAGTGCGTTGATATGGAAGACATGCACGAAGAATTCTTCAAAGTAAAACGATTGCCACCAATAAAAATAACAATTACGGGAGGGGGTCGTGTAGCGAAAGGTGCTGTTGAAGTTCTCGATATGATGGGTATAAAGCGAGTGAGCATTTTTAACTTTTTGTACCACAAGTACGAGCAACCGGTTTATGTACAGTTAAATTCATCGGATTTTAATGTACATGTAGATTCCAAAGTCTGGGATACTCAGGATTTTTATGAACACCCTGAAGCATACAAATCAACATTCGATAAGTTTATAAAAGTAACTGATCTGCTGATCAGCTGCGCTTATTGGACGCCTGCAATGCCTGTTCTCTTCACCGAGAATGATACGCAAGATCCTGATTTCCGTATAAACACCATCGCCGATATTACATGCGACATTGGCGGATCCGTCCCATGCACCAAGCGTTCGTCAAGTATTGAAGATCCGGCATTTGATTACAATCCTTCGACAAAGCAACTTGAACCACCATATTCGAAGCCAACCAATATTACAGTCATGGCTGTGGATAATCTGCCATGTGAGTTGCCGAGAAATGCGTGTCGCGATTTTGCCCGCCAGCTTATTGATAATGTGTTCCCGTATCTTCTTGGCGTCGACGATGGTACCATTGAACGAGCTACAATTACCAGAGATGGTAAGCTGACTGAAAAATATGCTTATCTGCAGGACTATGTTGACGGTTAAACGGAAATCACGTCTAACAGTGGTAATAAA